GTTTTTGGGGTGTTTTTGGGGTCCCTGAGGTGTTTTTGGGGTGTTTTTGGGGTCCCCTCCCCAGGGCTGTTGGAGACCACGGTGCAGAAAGTGGCGCGAGTGAAAGCCCCGAACAAATCCCTGCCCTCGGCCGTGTACTGCATCGAGGACAAGATGTGAGTGTCACCTGTGTCACCTGGGTCATCTGTGTGTCACCCGTCACCGCTGTGTGTCACCTGTCACACCTATCACCTGGGTCACCTGTGTCACCTGTCCCCTGTGTCACCTGTGTCACCTCTGTGTCACCTCTGGAGGTGTTTTTGGGGTGTTTTTGGGGTCCCCTCCCCAGGGCTGTTGGAGACCACGGTGCAGAAAGTGGCGCGAGTGAAAGCCCCGAACAAATCCCTGCCCTCGGCCGTGTACTGCATCGAGGACAAGATGTGAGTGTCACCTGTGAAACCTGTCACCTGTGTCACCTGGGTCATCTGTGTGTCACCCGTCACCGCTGTGTGTCACCTGTCACACCTATCACCTGGGTCACCTGTGTCACCTGTCCCCTGTGTCACCTGTGTCACCTCTGTGTCACCTCTGGAGGTGTTTTTGGGGTGTTTTTGGGGTCCCCTCCCCAGGGCTGTTGGAGACCACGGTGCAGAAAGTGGCGCGAGTGAAAGCCCCGAACAAATCCCTGCCCTCGGCCGTGTACTGCATCGAGGACAAGATGTGAGTGTCACCTGTGAAACCTGTCACCTGTGTCACCTGGGTCATCTGTGTGTCACCCGTCACCGCTGTGTGTCACCTGTCACACCTATCACCTGGGTCACCTGTGTCACCTGTCCCCTGTGTCACCTGTGTCACCTCTGTGTCACCTCTGGAGGTGTTTTTGGGGTGTTTTTGGGGTCCCCTCCCCAGGGCTGTTGGAGACCACGGTGCAGAAAGTGGCGCGAGTGAAAGCCCCGAACAAATCCCTGCCCTCGGCCGTGTACTGCATCGAGGACAAGATGTGAGTGTCACCTGTGAAACCTGTCACCTGTGTCACCTGGGTCATCTGTGTGTCACCCGTCACCGCTGTGTGTCACCTGTCACACCTATCACCTGGGTCACCTGTGTCACCTGTCCCCTGTGTCACCTGTGTCACCTCTGTGTCACCTCTGGAGGTGTTTTTGGGGTGTTTTTGGGGTCCCCTCCCCAGGGCTGTTGGAGACCACGGTGCAGAAAGTGGCGCGAGTGAAAGCCCCGAACAAATCCCTGCCCTCGGCCGTGTACTGCATCGAGGACAAGATGTGAGTGTCACCTGTGAAACCTGTCACCTGTGTCACCTGGGTCATCTGTGTGTCACCCGTCACCGCTGTGTGTCACCTGTCACACCTATCACCTGGGTCACCTGTGTCACCTGTCCCCTGTGTCACCTGTGTCACCTCTGTGTCACCTCTGGAGGTGTTTTTGGGGTGTTTTTGGGGTCCCCTCCCCAGGGCTGTTGGAGACCACGGTGCAGAAAGTGGCGCGAGTGAAAGCCCCGAACAAATCCCTGCCCTCGGCCGTGTACTGCATCGAGGACAAGATGTGAGTGTCACCTGTGAAACCTGTCACCTGTGTCACCTGGGTCATCTGTGTGTCACCCGTCACCGCTGTGTGTCACCTGTCACACCTATCACCTGGGTCACCTGTGTCACCTGTCCCCTGTGTCACCTGTGTCACCTCTGTGTCACCTCTGGAGGTGTTTTTGGGGTGTTTTTGGGGTCCCCTCCCCAGGGCTGTTGGAGACCACGGTGCAGAAAGTGGCGCGAGTGAAAGCCCCGAACAAATCCTGTCACCTGTGTGTGTCACCCATGTCACTTGTGTCACCTCTGTCATCCGTCACCTGTCACTTGTGTCACACCTGTGTCGCCTGTGTGTCACCTGTGTCACCTCTGTGTCACCTCTGTGTCACACCTGTCACCTGGGTGTCACCTCAGTGTCGTCTGTGTGTCACCTGCGTCACCGATCACCTGTGTGTCCCCAGTGTCACCTGGCTGTCACCTGTGTCATCTCTCGCGTTACCCGCCGTGTCACCCTGAGCCTCCCGATGTCCCCAATGTCCCCTCAATGTCCCCCCCCACTGTCCTCAATGTCCCCACTGCCCCCCCCGATGTCCCCGATGTACTCGATGTCCCCAATGTCCCCCCGCTGTCCCCAGTGCCCCCGTGATGTCCCCGCTGTCCCCATGATGTCCCCGCTGTCCCCATG